CTTTGAAGGAGTTTTCAAATATTAAGAGTAGTAATGATTCTAGTCTGCAAATACAAATGCATATGATGTATATGTATATCTATACATGGTGTTCGAATGAAAACTATCAGCAGATTATTACCTTGGTAATAAAAGTATTGCTGTTCAGGCGCATGGATATTATTGTTTAGTGGCCAGATAGTAGCCAAGTAGCTAATGAATGAGCTATTTGGTGATCATGGGTGAGCATGAATAAAGCAGATGATGCTAATGGCTTTACCCCAGTGCGACTTCAATGCTATAGTAGGGACCTGAATTTAGAGTGTGTTATCAGAGCTGTAAAACATCAGGAAACACTTTATGTGACGTTCACTCCAGTCTAAGTTATTCATGGTAGAAATGTACCACGGTGCACGCATAATGTTGTAAGCATTAACACCGCGACCTTTCTGATTTTGACTCTCTTTTAATTTCCTGCATGTCTGATCTGTGATGTAGCTCTAATTAATTTATCCTTCCTGTCATTATGTCTGAACGTTGTTCTCCTCTGTCTCCCTGCCTGGCAGGGCTCTGGGGGCCAACCCTCTGTACTGTGACTGCCACATGCAGTGGCTGTCAGACTGGGTGAAGAGCGGCTACAAGGAGCCTGGCATCGCCCGCTGCACCGGCCCTGGTGACATGACCGACAAACTGCTGCTCACAACGCCTTCCAAGAAGTTCACCTGCTCAGGTAAACATACACTGTCATATAGACACAGCACTGTAGCTCAGGGATACATACACATGTCAACACATGTTCACTATAATAGACACATTGTACAAATGCACTTTGTTAGGTGTTTGAACAAAAGAATGCACACACATACTTTGCAGAACATTATTATGCAGCATCACATACACACACTGGATGAGGACTCCCAGAGGAGACCACAAGTTGCCTTTTGTAAATCTGTATATTATACATGTTCCAAAACGTATACTGCAACAAAAATCAGCATTGTTTGCAGCCTTACAGCATTTGTGCAATTTTTTGTTTTTACAGCTTTTTGACAGGCATTGTCAGTGATGCTTTCAGTTGATTGTGACAAATTGTTTTAATTTATACGATGCTCTAAAATCACAACATTTTGCTTGTGAGCATGATTGTGGCTACAACATATTATACTGCAAATTACTACTAACTGTTAACCTTTAAACCTTATCATAACATTAACTTTGAATATATGACTGAATCCTATTTTTAACCTAATCTAACTGACCACTGTAGAAGTCCCGGGGCCTTGTGGTTTTCTGGTGCCAGGTAAAGTAACTAATCATATCCCAGTCATTTGTCCTCAGTCTCTCCTACCCCAGCTCCTCAAGACAGTCCCGGCCCAGTTTTCCTCGTCCTTTGAGCCCTACAAATCTTTATTGTTCTGCTTCCCTTTCAGCCCTCATGTTCTGATCAGTTTTGTGTCCCAACTGTTGAGCTTAATGTCCTGTCTGAGAATTGGGCATAAGTGTGTCCTCTGTACATGTCATGGCCCTGCAAAGAAAATGTATTCATAGGCCAGTAACATTTGTGCAAGTCTTGCTTGTCATATCCATTCAACTTTTTTAAATGGTTGCACACAAGTTTGAAGGTGCTTACATTCCTGGTTGTGTTGATTTTTTTCTAATGTATTTACAAATGTTGTTCTTAAAAATACAATGTTTCATTATCACTGTCTTAAAATTCAAGGTGAAAGGTAAAATAAACAAATTAGCAAGTGGGTATTATCCCCATCTTTTCCCCCGCACAAAAAGATGGCTTGAGTTGATACAAAGTTTATGTGGGTCCCTGGTCATGTACAGACGTCTGAGTGTCAACCTGTCAGCCCTGTCTTGCATCCCAGAATAAAGAACATTATATGAAGCTAATCTTATCTCTGGTGTGTGTGTGTGTGTGTGTGTGTGTGTGTGTGTGTGTGTGTGTGTGTGTGTGTGTTGGTCATGAATGCTCAGTGAGAAACTGGACTTGACAAAAAATTAAAGCAGAAATCAAAGTCGAGTTGTGTGAACAGATATTTGGTCTGTAACAACTTAAATGCTGCGACCCATGGGAGCCAGGCATGAGGTTTTATTTCCCCAGTGCATCATTAGACTTTTTTAATCACAAAGCATCTTGGTATAAAGTCATAAGCTGTTGAAAATCACAAATTAAACAACAACTAATAAAAAAAGAAGTAAGAAATATAATGAACCGATCAAAGATTGGAAGATAGTTTAATCAGTTTTAGTTGGGGAGGGAAACAGCAGCTATACACTAGTAAGTCTGATGTCATGTAGATTGTATAAAAGTGTTACTGGAAATGATATTGCAAACTCAATGAGTGTAATGAATGTTAAAATGTTCACCTTGAGTGCAAGATGTTTGCTTGTGGGTGTGTGTGTTTCCAATTTCCAACTGCTTTGATGCTGACAAGTGTGTTCAATTGTGTGTGTATTGCTCTCTTGCTTAACTCAGCAGTATGCAGTTACAAAAAGGATTTTGCTCCGAAGTGCCTTGCTGCATTTGAAGCTATATTAAAAAAAATCTGCATTTGTCTCAATTCCAACATGTTTATTTTTTTGTGTAAAGAATCCTGAGCTACAACCGATTGCGCTGCATACCAGTGAGGGCGTTCGATGGACTCAAATCTCTCCGTTTGCTGTGAGTATCCTTCACAACACATGCAGTGTGGTAGATAACTCAGAAACCTGTGCTAAAGAAGCTAGACTTTCAACATCCAGAGCCTTTTCCTCACTCTTTCTTCCTCTATCTCTCGCCCTTTCTTAGGTCTCTCCATGGTAACGACATATCGCTGATACCAGAGGGAGCCTTCAAAGACCTGTCATCGCTCTCCCACCTGTGAGTAACATAAAGAGACACACATCACAGTTTACATCTTTCTCTGAGATGGAAGTGTTTACCTACTAACCTTATGAAATTGCAAAATAAGGAAAACACATTATCATGACAAAAGAGCCTATCCCATGGTTTAAAAGAAAAACGTATGTTGAGTGAATCTCTGTGAATATATAAGGCTGCCAGAAGTAACTGAGCTATAAACCTACAGTATCTACAGCTACTGTATCTCCCTTCTCCCGCTCTTCTCTTTTTTCTTTAATATTTACGATTGAAATTAAAGGTTGGTCTACATACCGTATATATATATATATATACACGTATATATACATGTATACCCATATACATATGGTTGTATTCTAGTGCCTTACTCCTCTATTAAATGCTTGACTCTTCTTAGCTACAACACACCATTGGATTTGAATTGAATTGATTTATTTAAAAACAAAGGACAGTGTACATTAATCAACATATTAAAAACATGTAAATGTACTCGAATTAGCCAAAAGGCTAGTTTTCACCGATAGTTTCTCAAATGTACATATTTACAATAGACGACATCACTGAATACAGGTAAGGAGCAAGTCATAATAATAAAGAAAACATTCACAATACGCACACACACACACACACACACACACACACACACACACACACACACACACACACACACACACACACACACACACACACACACACACACACACACATACCACTTTGATCTAATTTACAGAAAGTGAATACAGTAAATAAAGCAGAGTTATATTGAGTCTCTGTGAAACATTTATCTTCCTCTGCAGATTATTTCCATGTGTGTGTGTGTGTGTGTGTGTGTGTGTGTGTGTGTGTGTGTGTGTGTGTGTGTGTGTGTGTGTGTGTGTGTGTGTGTGTGTGTGTGTGTGTGTGTGTGTGTGTGTGTGTGTGAGAGTGTGTGTGTGTGTGTGTGTGTGTGTGTGTGTGTGTGTGAGACTGTGTGAGACTGTGTGAGAGTGTGTGGGAGTGTGTGTGTGAGAGTGTGTGTGTGAGACTGTGTGAGACTGTGTGTGTGAGACTGTGTGTGTGTGTGTGACTGTGTGACTCAGTTAAGACACATTTTCACTTATATATGGACATGGTTGGCCGGCCACCCACCCTCGGAGTGATAGAGGTTTGTGATTGGACACACACACATAAACACAGACACACAGCAGATACAAATAATATGAAAGGACTTATAATATGCCCCTACTAGTTGTTCCTGGGTCTAAATACATGTTCACAGAAGTGTTAGCCAATGTGAAAGTAGCAGAGTGCATTTGTTAATGATGGCTGTTAGAAGAGATCTATTGATCACAGTTTGACTCTCACTTGCCACCACGGCATCGATCACCACATAGCATTCATAGCGCCAAAGACAAATCCATAAAATATAGTGCTCTATTACACAAAACTGGTAAAGTGAAATACTGAGACCAATGAAATGGACTGGAGTGTGTGTCTGTGTGTGAGCTAGAGAACAGCTCCAAGCACAAACTCCACTTCCTCTCCAGGGATTAGGCAGCTCTAACCCAGCAGACATGATGCACATATCACCTATATTAAAAGCAGCAGCATATTAGAGGTTTCAGCCGGCGACTCTCATATCGCTGCACTCTCCCTGACATTTCTTTACAAATACCAGCCTCTATTCACTCTGTTATTGCCTTTTCCCATTCAGCAATTCTCTGATTAAACAAGCTCCTGAAAAGCCCCGGCACCGCTATCTGCCATTTGGCTTTTATTAGAAACCCACCCCTTTTAATTAAATTGGCTAAATTACAGAAATATCAGGGATATTTCACCAATATATGGGATAAGAGAGCACAATGGGTGAAAAAAAACAACGACTGGGCTTTATGAGATGTTTTGAATGGGTTTTGGTGCTGAAATGAGATAAACACAATCTCGATGGCGGGGTTATGTTTGTTTTTTGAGGAAGCCGAGGTTTGTTGGATCTGAACGAGTCCCATAACTGAATGTGCGCTGCAAATCTCAGCGTCTGTCATGTCATTTTTTTTTTTTTTTACATAGTTTCTCAAAAACTGGATTCCACATATTCTCTTTATATTATCAACCCTGCACCTTCAGTGCCAAGCATTTCTTTTTCCCGCCTTATTACTGTGAAAGATTGCGGATTGAGGTTGCCTTGGTAACTGGTCTGGCTTTGATTGGGGGAAGACAGCTTCATGGTGCGAGGTGAGAAGATGGCTGCTCTCGCCTCACAATGCGCCACTATCGATTTCCAGTCCTCGACAATTACTGGGCCCAGTTGACTTAAACGGGCTCCGGAAAATGTGCATAAAGCAGAGGTGTGTGTGTGTGTGTGTGTGTGTGTGTGTGTGTGTGTGTGTGTGTGTGTGTGCCTGTGTGCCTGTGTGCCTGTGTGCCTTTGCTTCACACAGGTCCTGTAGATATGAATATCCAGGCCAAGTGTGAGCCTTGCCTGTCTAACCCCTGCAAGAATGACGGCTCCTGCTCCAACGACCCAGTGAACTACTACCGCTGCAACTGCCCCTTTGGATTTAAGGTACAGATGGTGTGGAGAGCCGAAAGGGTCATATTCTCTGGCGCAGGGGTCTCTCTTTATCAGAAAGGGATGAGATAATCCTAATTCAAATACCGGCATTAAAAGAAGTTCTTTAGAGACACTAAGTGTATTTGTGTTTGTTTGCATGCAGGGACAAAACTGTGAAGAGCCCATTCATGCCTGCATCAGTAACCCATGCCATAATGGAGGCACTTGTCACCTGAAGGAAGGAGAAGAGAGCAACTTCTGGTAAGAGACTATTGAATAAAAGAAAAGAAAAACGGATGAATGTGTCTTTTATGGTTTCAATAAAGTGGATTTTCAACAAAAAAAAAAAACTATAATGTTTTTTGTTGCTCTGTAGAAAGGTTTTTTAAAGCCACTTGTTAAGCACACATTAGTGATCTGCGTACCCTCAGCCGGTTGTGTCCTCAGACTGCCTACTGTGAAAATGGCCTTCTCTTCATCAGGATGTAAAGTGTTAATAGGAGGGGAGCAAACGCCTGTCTGCGTGCTGCTGGCAGATTTGAACCACCCACAGAAAATTAGAACATCCTTCAGATCCCCACTCCTCCTGTATCTCTCTGTCCTTGCCCCCTCTCTGGTACTTTTCATAACAGTCTTTCTCTCCATCTCTGTATTTCCATCTTTTCACTCTCTCTTCCTTCTCGGCATCAGGGGTTGAACATTTATCGTGAAGAGCTGCCGTTGACTATTTAATGAGATATTAATCCACCCGAGTGTGTGCCGCATAAGAGCTCTTTATTAGTCCTATAATATACCGATCGGTGTGTGTCTGTGTGTGTGAGTTTGTGTGTGAGTGTGCGCAGTAATAAACCTGAGTGGTAGTTACAGAGTTGAGGCACGCTCCCGTTAACAGAATTATGACTCTCTACTGGGAATATGTATACGGAGCTGACATTGCTGTTATGAGCTGCATGAATGGATAATGTGTGTGTGAGTGATTCTTTGTCATCCAGTTGATATTGCTCTGTATGCGGCCCTACATGCTTACAGATGTTTGTATCTCTGTTTGATCTCAGGTGTGTTTGTCCAGAGGGCTTTGAAGGCGACGCATGTGAGATCAACATCGATGACTGCGAAGACAACGACTGTGAGAACAACTCCACCTGCGTCGATGGAATCAACAACTACACTTGCATGTGCTCAGCAGAATACACAGGTAACTTTCCCATTGCGCTTTCCCAGATCAAATGTCTTGTCATTGATGATAGCAAACAAAGAAATATGGAACTTTTTATTATTCCCAACAGTTTTAATGATTTCAAATTTGTTTCTCAGAATCCCCTTTGTCCATCATTATTTCAATATGGTTAATGATTCAAAATTTCACAATACCTATAGGCGTTAGCCACTGTTGCCATTAGGGACCTCAATCTTCAGCTTATCATGGTCACTTAAAGTAATGGATGTCTATTGCCCAAAATACCTTTTGGGATTTGTAAATAACATTTGCTTTGAAGTTTAATGTACAAACAAGCTTAAGCCTTTGACGTTTTATTGGAGAACCAGATTTGTTCTAATACATTTTACATCTTTTGCTCTAATGAGTTAAAAACATGCTTCCAATAATGACAGGCCATTGGGTGACACTTATCAGTGATAAATCATCCATTTCAGCTTCATTTATAAGGATAAATAGGTGCCTGCTGCATCTATCAAAACTGTTTGAATGGCCGTATTCATATGATAACATGTTTAATCACTGAAACAAATACCAAATGACTTGGACTTATAAGAATGAGTGCCAATAATTGTGCCGCGAGCAAAGGAAAAAGCAATGTACCACATTATAAAAAGCTAACATTCAATAGGGAGGATGTCGGGGTCAATACAGGAGAGACAGGAATTTCTCCTGTGAGAAACCAAAAGTCAACCTATTCTAACTTATGTTATATCTAGTTCTTACCCAATTCATTGTATGTCTTAAACCATTATGTAAATCACGTGTTTAAAACTGCAACCAATTACTTGCACTTTTACATGCAGTTTGTCCATTGTTGCCCTGTTTGTACCATTAGAACGGTAGTGGTCAACTTGTAATGACTACTCAATGGGTTGCTAACAATCAAACGGTGGTCTCATGTGTACCTGAGCTGTAGAAGTGTTCAAACTGTGAGTCCCTTCACATTGTCTGTGGGAAAAATAAATGGCACTTTTACTTCCAACTTCCCCCACATTTTAACCGTAGTGTGTCCAACGAAACATGCGGAACATACCCAGAAAAAGCAGGCTTTTAAACAGTGACACACTGCAGACATGTTCATATTCTGTTTACTAACACGGGTCTGTTGCTACTTGTTTGTCTGCTTTTGCACTGTGCTAATCATCTCTGATGGCTAACCTTTGTGGCGGTGTTCTGTCTCTGTCTTTCTGTCTCGCTGTCTTGTGTCTTTTTTTCGTGTCTGGCTCTGCTTTCTATCATCTGTCGTTTTTTTGTGGTTGCAGCTGCTACCAATGAGGTGGAGAGAGGTTAGTCTGTTCTTCGCTCTGTCCTTCCTCTTCCTCTATCCTTCTTTCAATCTTTTGCTTCCTTCCCTCATTTCCTTTGCTTTATCCCCGCTCACCAGTCATTTTGGTCTTCATATCCACAGATGTAAAATACTCTATCATGCTCCATGTTAGAAATGCATGTCCTTCCTGGTCAACAGACCGCAGTTTTTAAATGATCCTCTCAAATATCTGGAGTTGTTCTGCTCACTGGTTTATGCATACTGTACATGGAATTAATTAAGCCAAGGTAAATATTATTTTATAATGTGTCAGGCAAAGATTCTGACATAAAAGCAGAACACTGGTGATATTCTATGATTGTGTTATTGTAAAGATTCCCATTAGAGACAAAGGTAGACTACTTTTATTCCATCTCTCAATATATTTCAGTTCCCTGCCTGTCTATGGCACTCCCAACCCATTTATTTATTCAGAAGACATACATCTTTAAAAAATAGATCACAAATATTTGCTTTCATTGTTTAGGGGCTCAATCATATCCAATATTATCATCTGTGCACTCTAGTGTTGAGAGCATTTGGTGAGGGCTATTTTCCCATTGGTGTGCTTGCAATTACCTCTGGCAGCAGGACAATGTGTGATGGATAAACCTAAATTGAATTAAATGTTTATTTATTGTCATTATATGATACTGGGTCACTCAACCAAATGTATGACCTTTATGCTACACGTTTTTTAGAATTCACTAATGTGAGTGCAATCCTTTAATTCATTTATTTGCACTATAGTTATTGTGTTTGTTGCTCAGTGTAAAGAAGGAGTTTTGTTGTTCGTTGATAATCATCTATATTTGTTAAAAAATATTGAATATTATCGGACAGCCTCTTTTTTTTTATTGGGTTGTATTTTTGATGTCTCCCAAGGAGAGAACGTTGAGATGATGTTTATTCTGTTGCCTGCATCTAAATAATAATAAACAGCTTAAGACTGTTCTTAAGGCTAAATCAGCTACTGCATGTTTGGTGAACAACCTCATACTGTAGGCCAGGGGTTCCCCGAGTGGGGGTCGCGAGATGATCATAAAATAAAAATGGAAAGTAAAAAAAAAAGAAATTATAAAAATAATTCATTAATTTTTTTTATAATTTTTTTTTTCTATATTATTAATAATAACGTTTGCATAGACATTTTTTTCTTAGACATCCACTTTCTCAAACTCTCGCCAACTTTTTTTTTTCTGAAATGTTAATTCACTAGCAGCCCCGCCCCCCCCTCCCCCCTCGCCGTCTCTGGCACGTTATTTGGGGGTCGCGGCTGAAAGTGGGGAACCCCTGCTGTGGGCTACTCTAAATAGAATATACAAGATATCATAATGTCGATCTTTAAGTTAAACCAGATACTAAACAGCACTCTACAAATAATCCATGCGAGCCTTCAAATCTGCTATCCATCCACCCTACTCCACATGTTCTTAACATTTTTAGTTTTTACTAGTGACACATGACAAATGACAACACGCAGCTCCAGTCTTTTTGATCCAACTCTCAGTTTCCTAATGGGAGCTGGGTTTCTTTATTAAAGCCATTCGCAGATGCATCTAAAATTAATAGTCTGGGACATGATACTCCACTGGTTTATGTGTAAATAGGATGTAGGCGCTCTAAACTAATTGGCGGTAACACTGTGCTTCCGGAAATAAAGCACAAGAGCACAACATGCATCTCAAACTCGCTTCACACGGTGTACCTACTTGATTCCCAACTATCATGTCATTATCCCCAGAGTGTCTTTCGTGCCGTCAGGAGTATTGGTTTATCCTGAGGCCTCACACACGATTTGGTTCGTAGTTCACAGTTCAGCTAGTCGGAGTACACCGCAGGATATCCATCAGGATATTACATTCCCGAGATAAGATCATTATCAGACCCTGTGTGGGACTGGCCACAAGAGAGTCGTCCATTCATCGGATACACACAGATACAACACACAGCACACACAGTTTTCCTAGCAGCGCGTACAGATTATGCGGAACTGCACTATACACACACAGTCAGAGCTTCTCAATCATACTTAGATGCAAAAATGAGGCAAATGGGTGGCCAATAATGGAATATGACACGTTTATATGTTTTCAGTTCACTTGATTTACTGGTTATATCTTGTTAATGAAAAGTAACAACAAAGGGGTGTGTGTGGTGTGTAGTGTGTGTGTGTGTGTGTGTGGTGTTGTGGTGTGTGTGTTGTGTGGTGTGTGTGTGTGTGTGTGTTGTGTGTGTGTGTTGTGTGTGTGGTGTGTGGTGTGTGTGTGTGTGGTGTGGTGTGTGTGTGGTGTGTGTGTGTGTGTGTGTGTTTGTGATCCAGGGGGAGCTATGTGAGAAGAAACTGGGATTTTGCGCCTCCAGACCTGAACCCTTGTCAGCATGACTCAGTGCATTTGACCCCTCAGGGATACAGTGAGTGCACCACACACCACACACACACACACACACACCACACCAACACACACGCAATTCACAATTACAATCTTATCAGATCTTAGTTTTACTCTCCCTTGTGATAATGTGTACTGGGACGGTCAGTGGCTCTATGTGTGTATCCTGTTTTGAATAACTGAAATAATGCTATAACCTTTTTTACCAGGCATCTCAAAAAGTGTTTTTTGGTATTGCTATGTTAACCCTCCATATTGTCGTATATAAGTCAAAAGAATCGCTGTTCAATCTAAGGATTACCAGTTTTGCGTGTATTATTTTTCAGGTGTTGAGTGCACTCCAGGGTACGTGTGTGAGCACTGTGAGCTGGACTACGATGACTGGTGTGGACAAGTTGTTGTT